TGCCATTGGATTATTCCAATATCGAGATCTGATTTGATTATCATGATTACTTCGTGGAGGATAGTTTGTTTTTGATGGATGTGTATAATTATAATTATGTTCCTCAAAATTGTTTCTTGTGAATGTTCTGCGTGTTTTTGACGGTATTGTCATGGGTCTATATGTTTGGTAATCCATTTGTGAATATTTTGGAGCAACCGAAGGTTTAACGGTTGATTGTAAGGTTACCTGTGCTAGTGAAGTGTTTGTATTTCTTGGTGTTGTTAAATTTGGAAATACTTTGTTGTGTAGTTGTTGTTGTTTGGACAATTTCTTCATTTATGAAGTGTGATGGTGTCTGAATATCTTGTTGAGTGAGATTCCTAGTTCCATTAAGGTTTTCATTGTGTATTACGGTCGAATTTAAACTGTTATTTCGCGTATCAGGTAAAAATGTATTGTAGTTTAATGGTGTTGCATCAATGGTTAATGGTACTACTCTTACATAATCTCTTATATAAGATATTGTACTTATTGCTTGACTTGCAATCGATTGTGGGATATTTATAAATGCATAATGAGACCATTCGGGGTCCCAAACGTAGTCTGACTGTTCTGTGATGGCGGTATCATCGTTTGAATTTTGAGGTCTAAAATTTTTTCTTGCTTGCGAAATTAAATCTAGATTATGTGTGAAATAATCTATTATAAACCATGCCAAGATTTTTTGTAAGTCATGTTTTGTATGTTGTGAAACATCATCTTTAGTGAAATTTTCTTTAATTATATTTAGAAAAGATGAAAGTAGTGTGATTTCATGTCGTACCCTTATATGTTTAGATGTCTCTGTCGGTGAGACATTTGAGATTGGGATTTCGTTTTCTAATATTGAGATATAACTATATATTATGGCAAAAACTTCATTAGTGAATATGGAGTTTGCTCTTTGTGAGTTATGATATTGTATGCTTTTTATGTATTCTGAGAATACTTTTGAAAATTCTAAATCAAGGTCGTCTGTTTGAATTACATATTTGCGGTGATTCGGGTTTGGTGAACTTAATTCTATTGTGTAGATTCCGTAGTGTTGTGTCAAATTACATATATTTTTCAAATAGTGATCTATAATTTGTCTTTTGATCCTTACATCTGGGAATTCTGTTTTACATGGCCTGTTTCCGGGTTCAAATAAATTTAGTAGTAAATTCTTGCAAAGTATATGCTGTCCTCTATCAGTGGGTGCATCTACGAGGAAGGGGAAGATATCGTCATCATCTGGACTATCTTCACTTGGAGTGTGTGTTTGGCTCATTTTTTCGTTTAATAACTGTTAATAGGTAAATATCGATGTGTCTAATTGGTTGATTCCAATTATACAAATGTACTGGTTTGTGTTTATATTGTTTTTTTATTCGTCTTTTTCCTCTTTTTGATGAATTTGAAGTTGTTTCTGAGTCGGAAAAATATAATTGATCGTGAATAGGGCAATTTTTATCTATAGATTCTTTTAATTTATAGAGTTCGTCTAAATTGCTGGCTTCTGATTCTGAAAATGCGTTTCTATTTTTGGAAAATCTTTTTCGTGTTATTTGTCTTTGTTTAGTTATTATTTTTCTTTTTAGTGTTTGTCGTTTTGTTCTTATGTATCCAACTGTTTGTGTATGAGGTGTGATTACAAGATCGTATTTTTTGTTTTCTATTTCACAGTTGTGCAAAACGATTGTTTGTTTGTTTCCTAGATTTTTAAATGACATAAGGTTTAGGATGACGGATGCAAAGGGTTGTTAGATGATTTCTATTTTCTTAAATTGCTAGTCCTTACGATTTTTTGGTTAGCTTAACCTGGGTCTATTTGTTCAGGGTTGGAGAGAAAAGTATATCGATTCCGAAGAATGATTTTTTACTTTCTCGTGGCTAGTATAAGCTAAGGTGTTAACTTACTTAATCTTACTTAAGGGTAGTGATTGTGTTCTTCTCTCTGGGGCCTTCAAGCTCCCCATGAGTGGCGTCACGTCACTTATCCCCTGTCTGATCACGGTCTGCGAGAGTCGTACTCTGCCCGTGTCGTCGATCGTTCCATAGGGTGCGGTCACCCCGGAACCTGGCGCATTCGTGTTGGCGACCAGTCGTCCAGCTGTCTCTATCAGCTTCCTCGCCGTTCGTTCCACGACAGGGTCACCCAAGGTGTGACTAGGGTCCGGGATTGTCACTCGATCTGTCGCTGTCGGGAGCCGTGTCTCCGTTGTCTGACTCATTTCTCGAGGCGTCAAGAGCTCCATCGGGGACTGCCCACGAGGAATACTCCTTGCAGGTATCACTTTCTCCACGGCCGTTGTCAACGCCATCCGTTCCGATCGCTCCTTGTAGTCCTGCCTCAAGCGCTCAATTTCTTGACCCTGCTTTTTGTTGCAGTCTTCGAACAATCTTTTCCACATATCCCGATCTTCCTCCGTAATGAGCATGGTTTTGGTCATCTCGTTCAGCTCCCTTTTCGTCCTTTCCAGTTCATCCTTCATCACAACCAGATCTTGCATGGTTTGGTTCGTCTGAACCTTTTGTCCTTATTTTGCCCTCTTTGGTGGCACAGCTGTTCTCAGTGGTGAACCAGACGAGGCAGCCTCGCTGTTCATCTCCTGATGCATTCTATTAATTTATAGAGTTCGTCTAAATTGCTGGCTTCTGATTCTGAAAATGCGTTTCTATTTTTGGAAAATCTTTTTCGTGTTATTTGTCTTTGTTTAGTTATTATTTTTCTTTTTAGTGTTTGTCGTTTTGTTCTTATGTATCCAACTGTTTGTGTATGAGGTGTGATTACAAGATCGTATTTTTTGTTTTCTATTTCACAGTTGTGCAAAACGATTGTTTGTTTGTTTCCTAGATTTTTAAATGACATAAGGTTTAGGATGACGGATGCAAAGGGTTGTTAGATGATTTCTATTTTCTTAAATTGTTAGTCCTTACGATTTTTTGGCTAGCTTAACCTGGGTCTATTTGTTCAGGGTTGGAGAGAAAAGTATATCGATTCCGAAGAATGATTTTTTACTTTCTCGTGGCTAGTATAAGCTAAGGTGTTAACTTACTTAATCTTACTTAAGGGTAGTGATTGTGTTCAAGGGTTGGAGAATAGTAAATCGATCCACAAGGTTCAGGTATAATTAGAACGCGAGTAGTTCGTTAGATACTATTTTAAACTTACTAAGCCTAAGATTTATCCTGGGTCTTGATAAGAGGAGGGTTCAAGTGAAGAATGAATAACCGAAGTTTTTCACTGTTTATCCTAATTTAAATGGTTAGTTTTGTTGAAAAATTTCTATTAGTCTTGGGTTTTTCGAAAGGGTTGGAGAGTGAATCGACGTTTGAGGTCGTTAGACACTAGCTAAGTGGGTGGGGGAGAACAAAATTGTTCTTTTTGATCCAAGGATAGGCCTTGATGATCAAGTTTTAAATTTTAATTAAATAGAAAATGAATTTAGATCCAAGGATAAGCCTTGATGATCTGGTTTGAAAATTGAATGAGTTTAAGTTTAAAATGGTTTAAATTTGTTTAAGAAAAGATTTAGTGTTTTAATGATATTAGTGAGCTTATGATTGCTGTTTTGTTTTAGGTGATGAAGCTGAGACAACTGATGATTTTATGATTACTAACAATTTATTGTCATGCTACTAATTTTTATTTTGATTTTTCAATAAATATTTTTCAAACATGTTTTGTATATTACTGCAGAATTTAGGAAAACGATCTGAGATCTTTTTATCAATCGTTATTGTATATTAATAATTTTGTTTAGCGCCTGAAATGATTTTGAAGATTGACTTCAAAATTTTATGTTTGCAAATGAAAATCTAAATTCATTGCTAGTAGTATTCTAAATACAAAAGTTTGTGTTGGCTTTTGCCGTACTATCATATAACTATCTGGTAAGTTTCTACTTTGTCGTATGTCGTCTCTGGTTCGAGGTCTTCTTGCAATTCCGGGTAGTTCTCTTATCGTTCGGAATATTGGCTTTGATCTATTGAGTCGTAGAGACATTTCGATTAAATTATCGTCGTATAACATTTTTTTTAAAAAATGTTTTGTCTAATTTCTAATCTATTTTTGGTTAATTCTAAGCTATTAAGGTCTTGTTCGAGACTTATGGTCGCACCAGATGAGTTAGGACCGAAGTGGTTAACTCATAGAGTAATTTCGGATAGGGTACACCGTCTGCTCGTCACGCTATCTTATTTTCGGCCGGATAGATTCGTGCAACTTCTTAGTCTAATACCGATCCTAATCTTACTCGTATACTATCTAGTCTCAGGGTGTTTAACTAGTCTCTGCTAGGCTCAATAGATCTAGGGTATACTGGTTTATTGCGGCTGCTGAAGTCTTCTTGGAGAGTCAACTAATTTCTAAGTTAAATTCAAATCTCTCTGGTGCTGAAATTACAAGTAATTTCAGCACTTACAAATAAGTGGGTTGTTAGTTAGATGGATCATGATTGGTTAATATTAAATACTTTACAGTGGTAAAATATCTAATTTATCCAATCATAAAATATAGTTTAGATCAGGTTCCAATAGTGACATCATTCAGAGTTTTTTGATGATTTTTTTGTATTGTCTTTTTCTGTACTATAGTCTGTACTGCAGTATCATCAGCGTACAAACTAATTTTGACTGGTCTTTATTACAAACATTATAATAATTGAAGACCATGAATAAAAGAGGACCTAACATAGATCTTTGGGGTACACTAAGTTTAAGCAACTGGGTTTATCTGAGTATTTAAATTATTTTGAGTTCTACTTGACAAACAAGATTGTATTATTTGATACACTGGTAGTCGTAGCGCTTAAGAGTAATGTTTTTTTTTAAACAAAAGATTGTGGTTTACAGCATCAAAAGCTTTGCAAATTTGTATTGCGATGTATCACGTTTTATACAACTAAGTTGAGATAAAAGATATCAACTTGATATAATAAAAATTTGAAAAAGGGTTGAAAATTTAATTCAGGGCTAAACAAATAAGAGCAACTTACTGTAGTTCCAAAAGTTGATCATATTGATTTTGATCCAGTTCTGTCGAATGAGGATACGAAACCAGGCAACACAAGCCTCCCGATCCAGACCAGTTCCCGAAGATATCAAGGCGGATTTGTTTGATCCACCCTCGTCTGGTCTCAGAGTCCTGTAGGAGTCCAGGCAGTACCAGTGGCTATAATAGTAGAAAAATATAGTTTGCTGTGAAAAATATAACTTGAAAAATATTGTTTTTTTTTGAAAATTGCTTTGAAGCTTCATTATGCGCTTCTTTTGTAACGACTTGCCTTGTTTTGTAACTTTCTTATCCTCGATTATTTTATATATAGTATCGCTCTACGTTTTCTTTATTTCTATCATCACAATTCATGGAAAAATCAATATGTTGTTTAAAAAGTTGTTATATGAATGTGGTCGGAAATTTCTGTGCTATTTGGGCAGCGACCAGCTATACCTAGCGTCCCTTAGTATGGATTTTACCTTTCAAAGGAAGCAACAAAAAATATAAACCTGAGGCGTTTTTTTATGAAGACCGGTTTTAGCGATAAAAATTATAGTTTTAAACGAAATATATTTAGACCCCCCAATTCAAAAACCAAATCTTGGAGTTAACTTAAAAAAAATTCACCTGCAAAAACTTTTGATAAAACTTTGAAGAGTTGAAAACTATCAGTTCACGCGCATTTCTAAGAGTTGATCTAAGATGAATAAAGCGCTAGCTCAATTTATCCAAGCTTGTCGAATAGTCCCGCATTCAAAAAATTATTTGAAACGTCACTTGGTCAATTGTTTATTTGTTCTTATTGCTTATTTTTTTTCTGATCATTTGAAAAAAGTAGAAAAAAGTTTCTATTCGGAAATGTTTTATTTTTTTCCACGCAAAACCAAGTACAACAATTAATCATCGGATTGGGTAAATTATATATCATAGCTCTTTCAGCTCGAAAAACATAAAGAAATTTTGAGTGTCGAGAAAAACCGGTGAAAAATTTAGTTCTTGGTCTAATTTTGAGCTAGTAAGGATAGCGTGCAGGCTTACAATAGCTTACTGAATCATAATTTGAGCCGTGAAAATACATTTTTTGTTTTGGTTTTTTCAGCAATGTTTTGGGAATAATAATTTCAAAAAATTTCTGCAAACACTTGAACAAAAAGTTTCCAGAATTCAAGAAAATTCTTTTTTTTAACAATGTTTTTTCCGTTTTTCTAGTCATGTTTCTTCAAAAACTATTTTCCTACTAGTTTACATGACTATGACTGTCAAATTTGCCTAGTTTTTATTTGTTCTTTTTATCATACCACACAGAAAAATCGACACTAATTTTGACAGAAAAAACTTTTACAAGTAGTTTTTATGACTATGGTTGGAACATTCTGTGCTGTTTGCACAGTAACCGGCATCCTTGTTTAACTAAACTTGGTATATCTTAAGCAGTCCAAATTTTTCAATTAAGGCTGTTTTTATATTGACAAAACCTTGAGTGTTACGAAGGCCTTTTTTCGTGTCTGAACAAAGCCATCCCGTACAAAACAGTCCAATACAAAACAGTCCAGAAAAGTATGAAAATGAACGGTGAAACAGTCCGATACAAAAAACTCCGAAAAACAGTCCCAAGTAATATTTGTTTTAACAAGCAGGTAGGCTGAGAGTTGTCTTTTGTTCAACAAACATAAAGAAAAAAATAGTGACCACCGCATTCGCGCCAACGTGTTGCAAGCTTGCCAACAGAGTAGGACTTAATACGAATTTTAGAGCCGGTTATCGCCCCGACGCGCGCGTAGCGCGCCCACCAGCGTCCTTACACCGGACTGTTTTGTAATGGACTGTTTTTCACTTCATTACATGATTATTTGGACTGTTATTTTGTATTGGACTGTTCTGTATGGGACTGTTTTGTATACGCACCCCTTTCTTGTATGCTTATCAGTTTTTTGTTCCAATCTTAAATTTTGAATTTGCTTCTAAGATTTTTTTAATTAAAAAACTTCTGTAGAGCTCTGTAGGGCAATGCAATGAACTGCACAAAACAGTACAGTTTGCGTCTGATAGCGTCTTAAACCGCTTGACCCTAATTAACTTGGAGTTTTAATTGGGCCGTTTTTTTGCTCGATACTAGTCTCAAATAATTGTCCTATGTTTGTAAAATAGCTAATTTCAATGCCCCACAACCTAACCAAAATGATCTCAAAAAATGTATTTTGTTTAGAGCATACAGCATCAAAAACGTTGAGTTGAGAAGATATAAAGCATCCCTCAAAAAATATTATGCAAATATTCGAAAACTGTCTAAAGAAAAAGGTCAGTCCGCCACGTTTTTTGAAAGTCAGATCATTAAAGACAAAAATGCGACTAGTTGTGCAGACCAGCGAAAAAGTTTTATTTACAACCAAACTGTTTTTTAATTGTTTTTCTTTCTCGACATTGTTTCAAACAGTTAGTCAACTTACTCAAACAATGATCAATTGGACAAAAAGACGAAAGTCAGATTTACACGGATAGGTATCTAATCAAAACCGAAAATCACGAAGGTGAAAAAACTTAAGACCATTCACAACTTAACCCATTTAGAAAACTTTTTAAATACGTACTATATCTAGATACTTGACCCACTTATTTCTCCATCAAAAATTGGAACAAACATATCACAAAACTGCACCATAAGCGAAAAGGGAATGTACAATGGGCTTGTACAATATGAATGTATATATAGAACTAAGGGTATGCACAAAAGAGTATTTTGCAAATACAGGTTGAGTGATCAACAACCCGTACCGAGAAATTTTCTTTATTTCTGGCATGAAATACTTTATATCTGTTCTAATTTCTGGTCAGAAATCCTTTCTGAAATATTTAAATAGAGCAAGGATTTTTCTGAATATTTATAATTCTCATCTTATTTCTGATCAGAAATTAGCTAAATCTAGGCTTTTGCTAGGCGTTTGTGCTAACCACTATACTACAGCACTTGACGAAGAGTGATAGTTATACCAAATTAACACTTTTTATAGCAAGTGTTAATTTGCATTGTATTGCTACTGTTATTGTGTTTACTCTGTTATTATATAAACTCGGAGCATGTTTATCTCGTTGCGGCTGAGCAGTAAACTGATTCCTGGTTATTTCTTTCCAGAAACTGTTTATTTCTAAACTAGAAAAAAAATCAATTCTGCACAGAAAATACGAGAAAACTAGGCTAGATATTCTATATAAAATTTTCTTCTAGAAAAACAGCCCCTGTTAGGTACGGGAAGTTAACATACAACTACATACAAAATTTTCTTACTGCGTAGGTACAATTGTTTTTAAGAAAAGTTGATGAAAAAATTAAGTAAGGTTAGAGTGGTGCGCCATAAATCGAACATTGTAAAATGTGAAGAAAAAATTGTTGTCAGGCACCAGCAGCTCAGTTTCACTTAAAATTTTTATAAAATTCGTGAAGATTTTTCAATAATTCTGTTTTTTTTCGTGGAAAAAATTCTGCTGTTGTTTCGCTATCTTTGTTTTTTGATAGGGTAATAAAAACGCTTTTTTGTGTTTTGGAACGTTTGACTGTAGAAGAATTATTTCCGTAGGCACCATCCCTGGAGAAATAGTTGTGCCTGGAGACCAATTAATGGTCGTTTCAGCGAACAGAGTTCACCAGAATAGGCAACTGGAACAAAAAATGGACGGATAAAAAGTCTGATTGATGGAGGGAAGATGAGATCCTAGTTAGGCTCTCGATTAGGCTTCGTTTTCCTCTGCAGAGTTTTTCACATAGTGTCCAATGTATCAATTTAAGTATTAATGTATCCAGTTTAAGCTTCGTCTGCAAATGACCGGTAGGCTGTCTTGAACTATTACTTCTGAAGCTTACTGCTGATCAATTCCTGTAAAAACCTTGCCTGGACTAGGTTCTTGGACCGATTGTGTTCCCGGATAATCAACCGCTTGTTATCTGCTACGCCTTCAAAAAAATTCTCAATAATGTCATCCTATGTTTCCAGATCAAAAGGAATGTTGGAAGAGACTGACAAAATTGGAGAAGAAAAAACGCTGACTACGGTACAAGAGGCTACGAGAGACTATTTTCTCATTATCTGTTTGTTCGGAGAAGTGAGGCACTTAGAACAGTGGTAAGGCGTTCGCTTTGAAATCGTAAGATCGTGTATTCGATCCCATGCCATGGCAATGATAGTGTGTGAGGACAAGATCTCACTTGACCTCCAGCTTCAAGTCTACCACAACCTGACCAAATTTGGCTGCAATAGTGGTACCACGTAAAAGTTCTAGACGCAAAAAAAACGGCCTTGAGTCGCAAATAACAGCTTCGCTCAGCAAAAATAACACTGTCTGGAATGTGGGGAGATAATACAAATGGACTATATTCGACAGGACTATTAAGGCCTACTGATAGCTCCTCTGCGATTCGCAGGAACTACACTTATTAATTATTATAAGTATATGACTTTGTATTCAAGGACCCCATTTTTACTATTGACTTTTTTCTATTATCCTGATGTTAGTTTCTTTCCTGGACTCGAAGTAGAAAACTGTGGCTCTAATGAGGGGGAGGGGGGGGGGGGGTCGGCGTGCTGTTGCCGTGAGACCAGAGGTCGTACTTGTCGGAGGTCTGGGTATTCCCTCTCGCTGCCGTCACGAAGTCCCCAATTCTGAGCTTTTCTTGTCGAGAAGATAGACTTGCTAAATATAATCAATGGCAATCAGGTTTCTTCACCTTTTCTAGCTGAATGGATTAAAACCAAGCACATGGTCGACTCTTATTTTTCGATTGAATCCTTGTAAAACGCAGTGAATGTTTAAGAAAGTGATGACTGAGAGTAAAATGGTGTGATTTGCACTTTTTGTTGAATGTCAATTTGTTGAAAGAAGTGTGATTTGCACTTCTTTCAGTCTAGATCGATATGCTCGCGGTATACCCGCGGTATCATCACCTCATCACCTAACATGCTGAAACTGTGTTTTTTACTGGCTTCGTCGCACAATTTTAGCTGACATACGTGCAACTGGTTTTTGTTTTGAAATAATGGTTTTTAAAAAATTTCGAATCAAAAACCAACTTAATGCACGTCTTTCTTTCTTTCTTTCTTTCTTTCTTTCTTTCTTTTTTTCTTTCTTTCTTTCTTTCTTTCTTTCTTTTAATGATTATTGGACTTACAAAACAGTCTTTTTGA